GGCTAAGTAGCAAGTATTAAAAAATTTAAATTATCACTTTAACTTTGAATAAAAAATATTTTTATGAATGCGTCTACAGATACTTCTACCATCCACAGGCTAATTTTGTTTTAACTTCATACAAAATGTTTCGTATTATGGAAATAATCTGAATCTTTACACTTGGGGGTGTGCCTGAATATATAGCACCGAATATTGATTCACATGAATTTTTCTGCCTCGATTTGACCAAATTTTGGGTTTCCGATTTTAGATTTATTCATGTACCTTATACTTTAATGTATGTTAGCACATGAGTCCGAAAGTCATTCGTCATGTAATTATGAGGCCAAAAGTTTCTATGGATGAAAGCCATTATTTGATTTAAAGTAACTTTTGGCATCACAATCTTTAGATTTTTTTAATAGTTACTTCATAATTAATAACACAATTATGACTTTTTCTTGTAGGTTTATTTCTCTTATTTGTTATTAAAATAACTGCTATTAAGTTAATTTTAGCTTGGGTTGTAAGTTTGAAAGTTGTTTTCTACGATTCTGTGAGGCCGAATTGTACAAAAGATGAAAATAATTTTAGGCTAGATAGTTCACCACTCTGCCAATTATTTATTTTTATTTATACTATTTTGTTGTGGTATAGCAATAATAATGGTCAACAATCAAGGATTTTACAATTTACTTCCTTTATCGCATCCCCTTTGCTCCAGCCTTACTCCGCTCTTTTCCACTCCTTTCATCCACCCAGCTTCTCTTCCATCTTCATTCAATATTTCTGTTATACTTTCCTTTTTTCTTTAATTTCGCCCTAGTCTTGTAGCATGTATTCTAAAGTCTCTTGGACTTCTCCACACATCCTATATATTCTTCTGCTTTCGCTTAAGCAAAAGTTATTGTTTCTTTCTTCATGTCCACCCCTCTGTCTAGCAATTACTTTTTCTCCTTCGTTCTTTCTCTCTCTAGGTACCTTGGCGTTGTTTCTGATATTATCTTTAGACGAGTATAACCCCCATTGTACCTAGGTTCCTTTATACTCGCCATTGGACGTATTTGTCCTTGTCGCCACTTTCGAGGAGACCTTTACTTTTCCACATCTCATTCATTATTTCACACAGTCTTTCAATCAAATCATCCGTTCTAAACGTCCATACATCATTTACCAATCCATTCCTCCCTGGTCTTTTCCCTCTTTTCGACCCTCCAACTTGTTTCCATATTTTTTCCACTGTAATGTTCGGCCATTCTTTCTCTCTCAGCATTCTCGGTTTAACTCTTTTGCGCTACAATACTCTCATTTCCACTCATTAGTTTCATGAAATGGTACTTCCATTGTATTATTAGCATTTCTTCACTGATCATGTTTTTGTTTTTCCTTATTTTGGTTCTTGCTCTGATTTTATGCCTTTTATTTTATTTCTTCTTTCGGAATCTCTTCTTTTTTTTCTTCACACCGACCTGTTATTATTTCTTGCTGGACAGTACTCTTCTTTTTTATGTTTCCCTTTTTACACCTTCGTAAACATTTTCTTTCTTATGTTTTTAAATCTCTGCATCTATTAACCCGCCATTTGTTTCTCTTTTCTGATTTCTTCGTTATAAATCCTTTTCTTATTGCTGCTTTTTCAGTTGTTGTTTTTAATTCTTCTATTTTATTTTAGCTTACTTCTTTTGAATTCAATTTCCAACATCTTTTATAATGCTCAGTTCCCTTCTCCTTTTTATCTACTTCCTTACTTCTATCCCTCAATTTTACTTCTTATAGCATGTGGTCGGAATCAATTCTTTCTCCTAATTTAAATGTTTCGGCTTCTTCATCAGCTACTGGGTTACATATACAGGTAAATTCTTTATCTTCATCCCCCTCCTTCACCCCATTCAAGACTACCAAACTCTTTCTTCAATTAATTTCCATAGAAATTTTCTGTCTTTATTTAAAATTTTATCTTTAGATTTTTCTGTGCGTTCTCCGCTATATTCCCTGCTTTTGTTGCCTATTTTGGCGTTAAAACCATCTCCTATCAGAAGAAATTCTTCGTTAGACTCTTCAATTTTTTCTTAAATTTTTTTCTTCAAATTTTTTTTAATTGCAATGCAATACAATATGCAAATTCTATTTTTCTTTTATCTTTCTTTCCACTATGCGTTCCACTTCTATTACCCGCTCTTCGATTTGTTTTATATCTTTTGTCACCCCTGTTATGGATCCCCCACTTGCTTCACCCTCAACTTTTCCTTTTTCCTTGTTCAATTTATTCCCCTTACTCTTTAGTATCCATGTTTCTGTTAATCACACAAAATCAAAATTTTATGTACTCATTAAATAAATTCTGTTTATTTTTCTTAATAATGCAATATTTCAAACAAGCAATTTTAAACCCCATTTGTCCTCCCCGCTTTTCTTTTCCATTCCCTCTCTATTTTTTTTTATAATTATTACCCCTTCTCTTTATGCTTCCTTGCTCAGTTAATTCCAACTCTCTTTGTAAAATTTTTCATCCAAATTTCCCTGTCTTCATTCCATGTCCTCAACTTTCCGTTTCTTACATTCTATAGCTGTTGTGTATCTTTTTTTTTCTTTCTTACTCTCTAACTTCTTTCTGAATTTTTGGCTCTTCTACTGTCCAATTGTTTTCAGTTGCTTTATATTTTCTTTAATTTTAGATAAATTTCCAACATTCTTCTGGAAATTACTACCTTCAAACAACTTCCCGTATTTATATAAAACCTAGTCATAATATTAGCTTTGTTAAGTAAATCATCTATGCAACCAACTTTTATACTTAACAATCTTTTCTCAAACCAAAATTGTTAAAATTACTGTTAAAAGATGTCACTGGATGTGCGTGAGTCCAAATGTTACGTTGAATGTGTGAGTCACTTCGGCCTCAAAAGCTACGGCGAGGCCGAAACTTCCAATTTGAGCCCAAAAGTATATATACGTGAGAGAATTTGAGGTCGAAAGTTATCATTAACATATATATATATATATATATATGATTATAATTAAGATTGAATATGGACATATTATAGAGTTTAAATAATATGATGATGATTATAATATGATTAGAAGTTAATACTATGGGTTATTAAGATATGATTATATTAGGGAGTTTTTACATATTGTGATATTGAGAGATAATATGGATATGAATATGTTATAAGTTAATATGAGATTTATAACCAAATACAGTTAAATAAGGAGTAAATTAGGATGTAAATATGGATATGTAGGATTATATTATTGAAATAAGATATTTTGTATAAAAAAGGATATTTAGGTCAAGCATTATTGATTCCCCTCATCTTCCTCATTTCAAAGACGTTAGCGTTAACTTCAAGTAGAGAGTGCTGTCATTTAAGAAGTTCATCAGTGGTTCCGTTGGATCCCATATTCTAAGTTCTCCATACAGAGGGCAATCATTTAATATATGCTCGTTCGGGGCACCACAATCACACTCTGGGGTATCGCTCAGGTTCCTTTCGTACAAATATGCGTTCATAGATCCATGACCAGTAAGAATCAAAAGCTCTTCCAGTGTCGGCGCATAATGTGTCATGATTTTAATCTTCCTAGGGTCCGGAGCAAATAGGTATGTCACCCTGCCATTCATAGCATCTTGCCAATGATCAGTCCAAACGTGGTGGAGTTTTTTCTAAAATCTTGGACTGCTTTTGTTTAATAGTCAACCCCTCCAGTTCATTTGCACCTATGTACCCGTGGTTCGGTAGGTCCCTATTGTTCTTGACTGCATAGAAAATGCCTCTTCCTATAGCTTGCAGGTGCCATGGGAGCTCCCCCAGAAGCACCTGCATTGCCTCAGTAGAAACAGTTCGGCAAAAAGGAAGAATAGCATAAGTGACTATCCTTTGACATCGTTCTACCGCCCTCCGAATATACCCCTTCTCGAGCTCTCTGAACCAGACCTCAGCACCGTAAAATGCAATTGCCGAGAATAAACTGCTCCACCACCTCCTAGTGTTTAGTAGGGAGGGTCCCCATCTTTTCCGGAGCACTCTCTTAAACTGCCCAGTTAGCTTTACCAACCGCAACCTAACGTCCTGAAAATGAGGTAAAAAGTCGAGCCGCTCTGCCACAGTGATTCCCAAACATTTTGTCTGTTTCTGGTAAGATAGATTTCTAGGGCCATGGCCGTGTGTTTGATAATATGCCCTTCAGCAGCATACACACACTCTTGGCATCCGAAACTGGCAGATTTACACCACCGGCCCAGTCACGCACAACATTCATCCATCGAGTACCCTTACGCTCTAACCAAACTCTGCTGTCCGCTTCCACTAAGATCAACAAGTCGTCAGCATAAGCAACACAAAAAGCTCTCTGATTTTCCAGTTCTCGTATCAAGGGGTCCATCATCAAATTCCAAATAAACGGGCCACATATGTCCCTCAATCGTAACTTTTCGACCCCTGAAGTAGGACTTCCACAACTCCAAGTCCCTGGCACTGATTTCAACCAACCTCCGAAGGATGGCATCCCAGGAGATGTTGTTGAAGGCACCCGTAAAATCGATAAATAGTTCTAGTACATATTTTGAACTTCTCCGTCTAACATAATCAACAACCGTTAGCCATGCATCCACAGTGGACTTACCTGCAGTGAAACCAAATTGCGTAGGGGATGTTAAAGAGTTATCGTCGGTACAGTCTTCCCTAAGGCGTTTGACCATGATTTTTTCCAAAATCTTGCCCCACGCAGGAAGAAGACATATGGGTCCATATGATTTGGCGAGTTCCTTAGGTTTGTCAGAGGATTTTAGGAGGGTTATTACTTTTACCGCTTTCCAATTGTCAGGAAACACACCTTCATGTAAACAACGACACATCAAGGCCAGCAAGAAATCCGGAGCAACTTTGAAAAATTCCTTTACCACGGAACCCGTTACGCCATCAAGACCCGACTTCTTATTTCGTTCACCATGTTACCCAGTAGTTCAAGCGGTAGTTTAACCGTTGCCAAAGGCACGTTCTCTACGATAGGGTAATCTACATCATCTGGACGGTACTGACCGCAAAAGATTCGAGCAATGCTTCAGCCAACTCAATCCACGTTACGCATATTCTGCCCCCAGAATTGATGGCCGCAATATCAGTGGCAGCTCTCCGTCCTCTACACGTCTTGTAAACTCCCCCCCATGGATCTTTTCCTACTTGAGTTGTCTGATGTACAAACTCCTTCCAATTCTCGAGTGTAGCCTTTCTGAGACTCTCTTTATACCATCTGCTAACGTACCTCCACCTTCTCTTGACTTCCGCAACTTCGTCACCATCTATTATGCTTGTATTCCCATCCCTTCCGCTTCTCCTCAACATAGTTTGGTAAAGGCGTCTGAGGTGCCTTACTTGCCTCCGTTGTACGGACAGGTCGGGGGTCCATCATCGCACAAGGTCTTTGCGATTCTGCTTCGTTTGAGAGGATCTACACGCCGTTTCCACCGATCCTTCAATATGTCAACACATCTCCTCCAAGGACAGCCGCTGGAAATTCTCAAGTCCAAGATCCTCAGCATTGCCCAGAATAGTCGCCCGGAACACTATTTTGGCATCTTCGTTACGAAGATAATATGTAGTTACTCTATCGTCCTCCTGCACTCAGTCATCGAAGTTTCTTGCCTTCAGGTTGATTACCATCGGGTTGTGGTCGCTGACCCCAAAATCCGAACGCACATTCCAGTCCCAAGTAAAGATCTGCTCGAGAGATGCGTTCGCAAGCGTGACGTCTATATCGCTAGAACCAACTGGCCCGGCAAAAGTAAAGAACTCGCTGTCCTCATTCAGCACCACCAGCCCACTCTCGACGATGTACTCTGCCAGAATATCTCCCCTGATGTCTCTATCTCTTGCTGCTTCAGAGTTTTTGCTGTGCCACACCAACAAGGTAGCACTTGCATCCAGACCTACTAAAAGAGGAACGGAAGAAGATCCTTGTACCACCCCGCGAAGGAGCTCTATATCTTGGGCGATGTCCCCTCAGTGCTGACAATATAAACTGACAACAAGAAGTTGCTGGCTTCCTATGGTAATATGTACAACGGAGATACATTCATTCGACCATTCGTCAACACGACATCACACACACCCTTGCGCACCGCAACAGCTGCTTTAGGCATATCACCGGACCAATAAAGGTTCAGCCCATTACCCAGGCCACAAACCTTACCGTATGCAAGAGGTAAATATCTACTTCGTCATCATTAACCCTACGCTCTATATCCGCCACCACACTCTGCGATCTTTGGCAATTCTGTTGCATCACCCTAACAGAGAGATTAGTGTGGTGACCATGTTTTACACTACACACCGTCAGAATACGTAATCTTGCGACGCTCGATTTCGAGTCGCCTTCTTGAAAGAGGACATTCGGAGACATTCGCGGCATGCCGTTCATTCCGTAGATTACTATAGCGAGCGCAGTTCGGGCAGCACTTTAATGTCGATTCACACTCACTGAGGGGATGATTACCTGAGCATCTGGGGCCCTTAATCTCACTCTGTGCGGCGCAGTACTTTTGAACGTGCCCAAATTGGGAACATCGATGGCAGACAGCAACTCGAAGTCTTTCCTCAACGAATATAGCCAAGAGATCTAATACTACTTTACCCCCATTGTTCTCGATCGCTTTCAAAATTAATGCTCTAACTTGCATAAGGTAAATGTGTTTATTTTTGTTTCGGCAATCTCGACGCGAAAGTATTTTGACGTCCATTCTCCATCCATCAGCATCAACCGTGTTTTTTAAAAAGGGATTTTGGCAGTAGATTTCATCTATTAGTTCAACATCAGTGTATCCTTTTTCGGTACCACTGACTTGAACGATGCGCTCTGTATTTTTATCTCCCTGTACTCCACTCGTTTATCTTTTTGTAAAAGCTCTCCGATCCTCTACCGCTGATTACTAGGGTCCCTGTTAAAAATGCCCAATCAAATCCAATATAACCCAATCTAAGTTAGATTGGACCAGATTGTGTTTGATTGGGTTAATTGGGATTCAATTTGAACTTATATTGGATTTGATTGGGCAAACACAATTAAAGGCTTTGATTGGATTTGATTGTGAAAATTGGAAATAATTGTGTATTACCAATAAAAACATCTAAAAAGCAAAATGTGATGTAATAAATACAATTTAGGTTTGGAGTGTCCTAGAACGTGCAAATGGAACATTTTATTTTATTTTATCACTAACATTGATGTCCCTAATATAAATAATTTTGTTGCTTTCTTTTAGATTCCCAAAATGGCTTTGAGTTATCATTTACAATAAAATGCCGTAAAAGATAATTAATTATTATGGAAATAAAACGCTTATTTAAACGATTATAACCAAAAATAAAATTATTTGCAAAAAGCACCCCCTTCACGAATTGTACAAGTTGTTAACATTTTATTACCTAAGAACAAGGCTCGAAAGAATTCTGAATCGATCACAAGAATATACATCTATATGCATACTCAAAAAAATTACATAAATATGTTCTGCGTATTAGCAACCCCCATAAGGGGGTCGACGGAGAACGTAACCACGCACTTCGATGAGAAGTCGTAAAGAAACACATTACGCAACCATTTTGCTTCCTACGGGAACGATACGGACCGTTCGTGCCTCAATATTACGTTTAAACGACATTCACAGTGTCGCCCAATCTGGCCCAATCAAATACAATCCCAAATTGGGGGCGCCCAATCAAATCCAATCTGCGAATAATTCGCACGCCAATCGCACAAAGAAGGTAAAAAATGACCACCACAATGGTCACGTGGTCCGCGAGCAAACATATTATCACTATTATAGCGAAAAATAAAACTTTTTTAAAAAACAACCCTTTTACGCGGGTTTAAGTGTTATTACTCTCCGACCGGAGTATATTTTTGGGAAAAAATTCTGTGTTCGACACGATAACGTTTACAGCGATAGGCATACCAAAAAAAAATTGCATAAATATTGTCTGCGCATTAGCAACCCCCATAAGGGGGTCGACGGAGAACGTAACCACCCACTTCGATGAGAAGTCGTAAAGAAACACATTACGCAACCATTTTGCATCCTACGGCAACGATACGGACCGTAGGTGCCTCAATATTACGTTTAAACGACGGTCACAATGTCGCCCAATCTGGCCCAATCAAATACAATCCCAAATTGGGGGCGCCTAATCAAATCCAATCTGCGAATAATTGGCACGCCAATCGCACAAAGAAAGTAAAAAAAGGCCACCACAATGGTCACGTGGTACGCAAGCAAACATATTATCACTATTATAACGAACAATAAAACGTTTTTAAAAAACAACCCTGTTACGCGGGCTTAAGTGTTAATACTCTCCGACCGGAGTATATTTTTGGGAAAAAATTCTGTGTTCGACACGATAGGATTTATGACGATAAGTATACTCAAAAAAAATGCATAAATATTTTCTAACCCCCATAAGGGGGTCGACGGAGAACGTAACCACCCACTTCGATGAGAAGTCGTAAAGAAACACATTACGCAACCATTTTGCATCCTACGGCAACGATACGGACCGTAGGTGCCTCAATATTACGTTTAAACGACGTTCACAGTGTCGCCCAATTTCGCCCAATCTGCGAATAATTCGCACGCCAATCGCACAAAGAAGGTAAAAAGTGACCACCACAATAGTCACGTGGTACGCAAGTAAACATATTATCACTCTTATAACGAACAATAAAATGGTTTTAAGTGTTAATATTATATGACCGGAGTATATTTTTGCGAAAAATTCTGTGTTCGACACGATAAGATTTATGACGATAAGCACACTCAAAAAAATTGCATAAATATTGTCTGCGCATTAGCAACCCCCATAAGGGGGTCGACGGAGAACGTAACCAGCCACTTCAATGGGAACTCGTGAAGAAACACATAACGTAACCATTTTGCCTCCTACGGCAATGCCTCTGACATAATGTGCGAACGACGCTTTTCAATAAATGTGTGGGCCGATGTCGCTTGGATGAAACATGTATTTTATGAAAATCAACCGTGTTCAGAAACTATCAAAGAGCTTCCACGACGAGTGGAAGTGGCAGCCGCCAAAGTTGATGGAACTCCCGGTGTTTTTTTTTAGGTCGTTTATGTTGCGACGTTCTGAAGCGTTTATTACTAGTTACGGGTAACATTTTCGACATGTATTGTAAAGAGGTAGTAGCATTGTAAGTTGCTCTTATTTGTATTCTAATAAACAAAGTGGAATCGTTGTGACAAGGACCAAACATCCGTCAGAATAAAAGTCGATCACGATGAAGCATTATCAAAAATCGGTCCTTTTCAGGTCAACCATTTATTTCTATAACAAATAACCTTTCGCATTGACCTCTAACGTTGAATGAATGAATGATAACCAGCAAAAAGTCGGTTTTACTTTTAATTGAAACTGAAAGTGTTTACATCGTTTTTATTGGAACGTTTTTCCACCTACTCTTTAAAAGGTGGATCAATGGCATCGCATCGAGGGTGGTTCATGGCGGTTTTGCCCATTCGATTTTTAATTTGTGTTTTAGTTCCCGAGCGTAAGCTAAGGAAGTGTAGTAATCGAGTCCATCAGACGATGGCCCACTTTTATGTTTTTTCGTATTTCCAACAAGGGTTGTATGTATGTACGTCGTCTAAGTGCAGTGGGTGGGTATCAGAGAGAACGGCGACCTGCGGGACTGTGATTGTGGGTTCGTTGCCGAACTTGGCCGCTTACTTTTTATTTACTTTCATTGGTATAACCAGAGTATAACGCTGTGACTACTTCTCTTTTGTGCTGCGATTAGAATTATGCATGTTGATGACGTCATCACAAATTTTGTAATTGAAAACATCATGAACGAGTTACCTCATTTTCTCGAAAATGTAAAGACTACGCACATCTTTTTATAATAATACCTAATAAAATAAGCATTATAATATTCAGAACAATTGTGTTCGCTTGTGGTTTCATTCATCACCAGTAGCGGCTCGTGGTCTTTTCGTTAGGTGAGGCAACAATTTCGTTTCAAAATCAGCAGGTATTAATTAACATGTTGGCAATTACTTTTGTTAAAAGACAGATTGTTTATTCGTTTTTATGAAAATAATACAAATAGCTTTGAGTCAGTAACATGTCTCTATTCTATATGGGTACACTTCTCGAATAAAAAACATTTAATTGCTTCACACAAACCAACGAGAAGGTTTAAAGACTACAGAATTTGCTTTCTTAGCATTAAATATTAATTCATATGATCTAGGGCTAATTTAAATATATTAATCAATTAATTAATAAAGTTCTCCTCAAATCTGGATGAGAGGTTCTAAATCTTTGACATACAATTGTTCGTCGTAAGAAAACCGTGCTTAAATATTTAAACTTTATAAGAAATTCTGGAGATTATAGATTCTTATGTTGCTATCAGCATTGCAAAACTGACATTTTCATTGTCCTACTCTGTTCAAGTTAACTTAAAAGTTTTAATACATAACCTTGGCAATGCACATGCAGTGAACACCTTTCCTCGCGTCTAATTAATGCACAACTAAATGCACACTAAATGCATTCAGCATCCCTGTTCAGCATTGTGCAGTTTCACCGTGAGATTAAAGAATCCGATCTGATTGGCTTAAGGACGGTAGGCGTTGGTGCCTCCGCTGGCGCTTTGATAAAGCACTGATGACTATTGTCTTACTCAAAAACATATTAGCACCACTGACTAATCATACTGAAGATATCCGTCCATCTGAGGCATGCCTCTGTCTGAAGCTGGCCTACACGGCGGTGATCAGCACTTATTCCTGTCGAAAGCGCGTACTTCAAAATATGTTACCAAGACGCGTTTTAATAAATCACAGTGTTCCATAAAAGTTATTTGCTATATCTTTAAAATATATTTGAAGTTAACAGATATTAAAACAAAAACTAATAGTCAATTTTTCCAGGGGAGGCACTGCCTCTCCTGCCTCCCCTGACGAGCCGCCACTGTTCATCACTTTAGTCCTCTGTTAGTTATAGAAGACAAACTCATTCAAATCAAACTAATTTCTACATGACATACTGTTTATATATAAATATAAATAAACAGTTGACCTTCACTGGCATTACGTACTGCTGAAGGACATTGTATCTC